TGAGATTAATGAACAATGTTTATAACCTGAAATTTCTAAGGGAGACAAATTATAGTAACACCTTCACGTCATTTTCTTACTCTTATCTTTTTGTTTGATTATTCTTTTTCAAGTGAAGGGTTTAGAATCACATATATAAAATAAATTACCCTTCATCAAATTATGTAAATACGTAGTATAAAATCTCTCCCACAAAACTCGAATGATATACACATCATATAAAATATATATTCTATATAAAAAACTTCTAGTCAAATACATACACTTCGCGTCGATTAAATTTCATTTGTAGCTAGCCACTTTAGCTTCGGGTCAATTAATAAGTGGACCAACGAACTATATGGCTAACTACATAGCATAATAAATTAGACCAAGCGAACCATCAAATTATCTAGTCGACTTCATTTTGGTAAACAATTGTATAATGTGTATATCATTATTTTTTTATTTTTTATTTTTAAATATGTAGTAAAAAAAAAAAAAAAAATCAATAATTTTGACAGAACGCGTGCAAATGGGTACAACCCAAAAATTCCGAAATCCGAATCATGTTAGTGACCAGCCAAATTATTATATATTTAATTAAATGAACAGAAGTAGAAAAGTCCAACGGATTGAAGATATTTCTTGAGCAGCCATGCATTATTTGTCCAATTTGTGCGCCAAATTTAAGAAAAGATAAGAGCAAGAGGTAGGTGCATCTAATTCCATCTTTTCAGGATTCACGTGCCCGTTTTGTGTATCCACAAACTTGAGCAAAATTATAAGTATTATTTATTCATGTTACATCTCTCTTATTTAAAATTATAAGTATTATTTATTCATGTTTATTCATGTTACATCTATCGAACGGCTCCTTAGTATTTTCGTTTATTCATATTACATTTCTCTTATTTATTCATGTTAAATTGCAACAAAAAAAAAAAAAGTAAATATGTTAGGCCTTTTATGCTTGACAAGTGGCACATTGGCTTGCTTTGGGCATTGGCTTGCTTTCCTATTTTTTCAGGTATTATAATTTGCATTTCATTTTACTAGTTTGTGTCGCACACTCGGCCTAATTTTTTGTTATAATTAAGTACATAATTAACTTATAATCTAATTATATTGTTATCTTGCTATTATTTTTGTTGTAATGTATTACAAAAAAAATGACAATTATGAATTTAGGCATTGGAGTAAAAAGAAATTTAACTTCTAATGCTTCAATCCATAGTTGAAAAATAAAAGTCAAATACTATTAAAATTCAACTATAAAACAATTAGAAATAATTCGTTAGTTCTCTCGTCACTCAGTAGATTAGAGTTGAAATTGCATTACAACAAACATTATATTTTAACTATGAATGTGATTAGGTGATTGAATATGAGAAACATACAAGTAGATTCTTCGAAAATGGCACTGTCTAAAAATTATCTCATGAGTAACTTTATATTGTCTAAGGGAAGGGAAAACCAGGAGAGGCGGCCGGCGAGGGGTAATAATAATAATAATAATTTTTTTCTTTTCGATTATCGAGTAAGAATAATAGCAAAATTTTAGGAGGTGATTGTTTATAATTTCTACAGTAAAAAAAAATTAATCAAAACTCAAATTTAACTCAACTTCAACTTCATCTCACTATCTCCCATATTATCAATATAATTAAATAATATCAACTCATCATTCTTACACATTACATCAACTTTAATTCACTGTTCATCCACTCATATAATTTTAACTGACTATCACTCACAATCATTTTTCTCCTACTTTACATCGAATCAACTTTAATTATTTTATTTATATATTATTTTAATATATCCAGTAATAATTAATCATACCATATTTTTTCAAAATTAACTATAATTAAAAAATAAACTAAATAAAAACTAGTTGAATTCGTAAACGATCAGCCTCGTGGAGAGATAGACGGGTGGGAAATTGAAAATTGGTGTGAGAAAGGGAGAAAAGTTGAATGGTGTGTATGCAACTATGGTCACCTCCAACCTGCGCCACTCGTTAGAGTCACGTTTCAATTTATTATCAAACCCAATGATAGATGCTGTCACTGTTTGAGTGATATCGACAGAGAGTGTGGCGATGCGTTGTAGGGAGAATTCGCTCATCAATCAAGGGTAAAAAAGTCCTATTTTTTAATTATGTTCATATATATTATTGATATTTTTTTTTGTATAGTATTGATAAATTTATTTATTATGTTAAATAATTTGGGGTTCTATTTTTACATGTGTTTTAATTTCATTTTGTAAATTTTAATAATACTGTATGAATAAAAATTTGTCACAATAATACAAATATCAATGCGTTGTCCGTGCGATGAATAAACAATATTAATTAATAATTATAAATTAAAGAGGAGGGTAAACAATATTAACTAATAATTATAAATTAAAGATGTAAGGTAACATATATAACATATGTAGAAAGTATCTAAAATATTCTATAAACGTAATTCTCATCCAACAGAAAATAGTTTAAATAAAGCAAAAAACCAAGATTTCAATATATACACTAGCACAACATACATGCACGAAATCGGTGATCAGGCAATCTGAATCCGTCAAAGTGATTGAACGGTCGTGAACAATACATTTAACCTATAAAAGACAAAATTTCTCGAGTTTGTAGGGTTTTAATAAGATCCACCGTGTGCACATTTCTTGTTTTCCCTCAACTTTGCTTCGTTCGATTATGAAGAACGATTAACAAATTAACCTTTTGAATCTTATGTTTTTTTATTTCTGGTTGTAGTTATTAATTTTTAATACGAATTGCAAGATTTTCTTTCGAAAAACATGGATTTTAGAGATGATTTGTCGAGTTTTTGTTCAATTATAAAAGTTTATTTCACGATTTTTGATAGAATTGTGAAGAATCAATACGTTTTGTTCGATTTCGTGAATTTTATAGAACAAAAATAGATATCTTACGTACTGCGGTTAGTGTTTGTAAAATTTTAAAGGTCAACCCATTTATTTGCGTTGACTATGTAATTGAATTTTCATACTTCTCACGTTCAAATTATCTGTGGTTTGGTTTTCACAATTTGTGGAAGAAATCTTGATATTTTGCATTTTGATGTACCGTATACGTAGTTTGTCTGAAGATTTGTAGCTAGATGTGCAAACTGTAGAGTGTTTTCGTTTTTTTATTTGTGTCTTATTTTTGTAAAAATAAAATTTCCTGTTTTAAATTGTCAAAATTAAATATTATATGGCTAATTAAATTGTAACTAAGTAATTATTTTGCAAATAAGCCATATTTATGAATAATTTTATTTTTTCATTTCTTTCACAACCTCAAAAGGATTTCATTTTATATGCAAATTGCAGAACCTTCAGCAACAATTTTAAAGGTTAAACCCCACCTAAAACCTCCCACCTTATCACCTTTGCGACTCCGAAAATGCCCATTCTCTCGCACAATCTCACTCTTGCCAACAAATTTTCATTTTCGAGCTACGAATTCCCTTTTCAATCTTGCAAACAATCTAGCAAATTTCCCCAAATTCTTCGTATAAATTGTGCACAGAAAGCCAAAAGGACAGGAAAATTGAGGTACCCATCTGAGAAAAAGAAGCTAAGACAACAGAAAAAGGCCAAAATTGACGAGGAAAAGAAATTGGAAGGCGTCTGGAGGCTTTTTAGGCTCGGAGTTCCCGTTCATGAAGACCCTGGAAAAGATTTCTGGAGTGTCTCCGAGGCTCTGCTTAGAGAGATAGCCAAAGTTCTTGAATTTCCGGTAGAAATATCTGTTTTTTCTTGCTTGCTCGTGCACAAATTGTGAAAATTTTGTTAGTTTGTGACATTCTTAAACCTTAAATTTCTAGTTTTGTTCAAGTGTTCTTATGCAAATGCCTCTAGCATGCCCTTTCAATGCCAACTTAATTGCAGTTTATTTTTTGCAGGTATCATCCATGTTGCCACCTGAGGCGTTCACGGTGGTCAGAAAATCATTTGATGCGAGGAAGGTATGTAAAGCTTGAAGCTTTAACTGTTTTGTTATAGTGTATGCAGTTGTCAACTCATTGGTGATGACATCTTTACATTTGATTGGCTTCCATTTACTTTCTTCCATTTGTTCTCCTCGTAACAGAACAATCAATTTCTAATTATTTGGGGTCACACTTTTAATTATTTTATGAGCTTACATTCCACATTTAATGCGATTAAACTCTGTAATGGCGTTTTTCTTTACACGGCATTTTCTTTGTTAGAGAAGGCCTGATTGATGAAAGCTTATTTAAGGTTCGGTTATGCAAAATGAAATTATTGTTTTGTTTCTGTTTTCCAAGAATGAGCAGTTGAAGGTAAATCATCAATGCAGGAAGATACTTACCTGTTACTAAAGTCTTGGAATATTACCTTTTCTATGCAATACTAAATGATGGAGTTGGAAATCGGTGCTGTGAAGGTACTATGGTAGTATGGTGTAGGATGACTTACTTGAGAGTTTCATGAATGTAGGATATGACTGATAATCAGATTTTTTATCAAGTAGTCTTTGGATAAGTGATAGTTACTTTTAACTCTATGCTGGCCTGATAGACTATATGGCCTCTATATGTCGTCTACAAATAGCATATTGTTTTCATTCTGGTGTAGTACCGTGATGTGAACCTTTTTCTAATTGCTTGCTCAATTTAGACACCCTCACACTGTATAGCTGTATGTCATTTTCGGAACTTTCAAGAGTTGTTCAATAAGTACTGATGGAATGAGATCATAAGGCCCCTCAACCCTGTGGACATATTTACGTGGCTCGACATATTAAGGCTCCTACCTGCACTATATTTCTAACTTTCTTCTTCTTTCTTTCATTTTGGACTTCTCTTTCAGTATTAAGGTTTCACTCTTAAAAAAATATAAAAAAATCGAGAGATTTGCATATGATCAGTTTTATTTTTTATTTTTTATTTTTTTTTCTGCATGATCTTAGTTGCAGAAGGAGAAGAAGTTCGTATATACCGTGGATATGGATGTTGATAAACTCATAAGCCTCGAGCCTCGAACCGTGGAGTTTGTTTCCGAGCTGGAACCGAAGGCTGGTTTTGTGGAGTTTTTACATCACAGCAGCATTTCTGGTGATTTAATGAATGTAATACGCAATCACAGGAGCATAGGTGAAATTGATTTTTCTAGTGAAGCTGTCCACAGCAATCAATTCACAGGAGGTTACATTTCTACAAGCAGAAGAAAACCAAGAGTAGTAGTCGTCGGTAGTGGGCCCTCGGGACTGTTTGCTTCCCTTGTGCTTGCTGAAGCTGGTGCTGATGTCACGCTAGTCGAAAGAGGGAATGCAGTTGAACAAAGAGGGCGCGATATTGGTGCTCTGGTAGTCCGCCGGATGTTACAATTGGAAAGCAATTTTTGCTTTGGGGAGGTCATACCTTTATCCATATAGTATTTTATTTTAAGATTTCTTTTTTATTTTTTTTTTATTTTTATTTATAATGTCAGGTTATAATTCCCATTGTATTCGGCATTTTCCATTAATTTTATGTGCAAAATTTCTTGGCATCGGAGAGTTGAAATTATTGCAAATTAAAAAGGGGAGGGGTAGACCGAAGAAAACTTGGAATGAGACAATAAAAAATGATTTAAAATATTTAAAATTGAATGTGGATATGTGCTTTGATCGAGCACGATGGCGACATGTGATCCATATAGCCTACCCCACTTAGTGGGATTTTAAGGTCTTGTTGATTGGTTGATTGATTGATTGAGAGTTGAAATTATTAGATGATTAAAGAGTAATTGACTAAAAGGGTATCTACTGGAGGAGTCTCATTTTCGACTGAGGTTAAAATCACTTGTCTTTTGAATTTTGATGCCAAAGTCAAGATGCTAAAAGCTTTTCGTTAACTTTTTAGGTTGTCTTTAATATCAAACAGGAAATTACTCAACTTAGTGATCCGTTTAAAGCTATCATAGAGCATTTTAGTTCTGCATTCAAGTTCAAGAAAGTAGGATTTTTTTTTACTATCGTAAATTGAGTTTTTTTCTCATAGTATATTAATTGCCACTCTTCATTTATTATAGACTTATGTATGACAGGGTGGTGCAGGTACTTGGAGTGATGGGAAGCTGGTAACAAGAATTGGACGAAATAATAGTAGTGTTTTGACAGTAAGTATTTCTCTTTCTACTTGCTTATGATGGCACTTATGTACTGCACCATTTGATTCTAAGGACATTTGATGCGCTTCTGAATTTTTGTTAGCTTACAGATTTTCTTATTTTTTTCATCTTTAAGGTTCTGAAGACACTGGTTCATTTTGGTGCTCCATGTAGTATATTGGTCGATGGGAAACCTCATCTGGGGACTGACAGATTGATTCCACTTTTACGAAACTTTCGCCGGCACTTGCAAGAGTTGGGTGTAAGTTTCGTATTTAGTTGAACTAATCTATAAACAGATTCTCTTTCAGTGTTTTCTTTCTTTTTTTTTTCTTGTTCTTATTTCTTGCTACAATTATGCTTAGGTGACTATCAGATTTGGGACAAGGGTAGATGATCTTCTAGTGAAGGGTGAACGTGTTGTAGGTGTTAAAATATCCGATTCGGGAGATAGCTCCAAGTCTGGTTGCCATAACTTGGAATGTGATGCTGTAGTTCTTGCAGTGGGGCATTCTGCACGGGACACTTATCAAATGCTACTTTCACATAACGTGGACATCGTTCAGAAAGATTTTGCTGTGAGTGCTGTTTGTAATATTTGTTATGTCTTTTATCATGCAAACACATATTGCTATTTGTATGAGTGGTTTAAAATTGCTGTTGATTTGGTATTACCTAAAAATTGCTGAAAGCATACGCAATATCTTTTCTGTACCTACTGCAAAAATGTCTTTTCTGTTGAATATCAAATTGAAATGCAAAATGTAATTTTGATGGACATAAAGAATACAAATTTGATGTTATGTTCTGATTTACATTTTTTAAATGTCTGGCACATGATATGGATTTGTTGCTAATATTACTCTTATCATTCTTCTTTTTCTAAGTTATGATATGCAATCAGTGAGTTTCTTCTTAAGAACATTGTGTTTTTATCGAACATTGTGCTAGGCAATCAAGTGTTCAGTCGCACTCCATATGAAATTTTCTTTCGCCTTTACAGGTTGGTCTGCGGATTGAACATCCTCAAGAACTGATAAACAATATACAGGTCTGTCTGGAAAATTAGATGCATAAGATTTCGGTGCAAAGTAAACTCGTAGTGTTGTACAATAAAATAAGCACCATTATCTTGCTTCTGTACAATTTACAAAGAGCCAAAGTAGGAGAAGGAACGGAATGAAAAAGAGGTTTTTAAATCAATAAGATCCTAATTTAATCCCATCATTCTCAGCAAAACTCTACACAAGCTTCCTAATGTAAACACGAGAAGCTTGAGAGTTGAGACAGTTTTACTCTATCTTGCAAAATGAGTGGAGCAATTTTACTGATTAGATATATTGCTGAAGTACATTTTTAGGTAGCTAACCCCAGCTTTACAGTTAAGTCTTGGAAGGACATTTTCAACTGCTTGTTGTGTGCTATGAATTGTTTTGATTGCATGAACTGAATGGAATGGTTTGTTTTGATTGCATGAACTGAATGGAATGGCTAGAGAACTTTTTCTCCTAAAAATTCTTTGCAGAAGATACACTGCTCAGTAACTTTTTTCTCCATATCCAGCCCACATTATACCTTTTCTCACTCAATCCAGTATTTATACACTTGCACATTTTCAATCTCCATTCATATCCAATCATTATTTTTCATATTTCTGTATCATCAACTTTTGCCATTACATTTGCATCTCATATCCAAACACTCTCAAAGCTCATAATAGTTCTTTCAAAATATTTTCTTCATTATTCTAGCTTAAAGGGAAAAAAAAAAGAATCAAATTATCCTATCACTATTGAGCTTCATAGTAATTGGACCCATGAAATCACCTCTACAAAATAGAGGAGCCTAATTCCTAGTTCCTGCTACAACCTTTTACTACTAAACTTGGGATAAGATATATTACTGAAAAGAGTGGAAAATTTCACATGCCTACAAAATTAGCTAATGTTGAAGGACTGTGAGATATGGATATGTGACTTGCCTATAACATTAAACTACAATTACAAGTTTTTTTTTTCTTCCCCCTAATATGATCTGGCGTTGGTGCTCGGTTCTACTTAAATTATTGTTTGCAGTACTTCATCAATATGCTAGAATTACAAAAAGAATAATTGTGTAAAAAATGATGCAGTATTCCGAGTTAGCTTGTGAGGTTCAGCGTGGTCGTGGGAAAGTACCTGTAGCAGATTATCAGGTTGCTGAGAGGATTAAGGCCTCAAGTGTGGAACCAATAATTCGTAATTGTTACTCCTTTTGCATGTGTCCAGGAGGCCAGGTATTATTACTCCAATTTATTCCAGTAAAATGACTTCATTATACCTTAATCTAGTTTTTCAATTGCTTTATCGTCTGCCTTTTTATTCTTTATTCCTCTTAGCCTTTGTTCTTCCTCAAATTTATATGACCCTTGAGATGCAATCAATTTTTTAATTTATTTTTTTTTGTTTTGTGTCATCAAGAAATAAAATGCAGTAAAAGAAAGCAATATTTATATTCAAATCTTTCCAGTTATAGTGTGAACTTAATGTTCATGTATTGTGCACTACCCTGTGGCAGCCACATCAGCTGATTTTTCAGTTATAAACATTTTTTATTCAGGTGGTTCTGACCAGCACTGACCAGTCGGAACTTTGTATTAATGGCATGTCATTTTCTCGGCGTTCATCCAGGTGGGCAAATGCAGCACTTGTGGTGACTGTGTCATCAAAAGATTTCGAAGCTTTAAATTTGAGTGGGCCTCTAGCAGGTGTTGGGTTTCAGGTACTTTCGGGTCTGAATGTGTTGCCTTTTATATTCACTTGTTTTATCTGTTCATTTACATAAAAACATATTTAATCAACTTCTTGTTCTTAAGTTTTCATTGAACATGAATCTTTCTTGTGCTTGCATCTCATTATATTTACAATATTTTTTTTTTTCTTGTTATGTTCTTTTTTTTTTTCCCCCGTATTTTCTGCACGTACACACTTTCATTTTGAAGTAGTTATGAACACTGTTTTTTGGTTCGTTCAGAAAGCATTCGAGCAAAAGGCAGCTCTAATGGGAGGTGGCAATTTTGTCGTTCCTGTACAAACAGTTACGGATTTTCTGGAAAATAGACTGTCAGGTAGAAATAGAATATATTATATGTATATGTGTATATATCTTCTAATATTCCCTGTCTACAACTCGTTTTAGCTGATATCCTAAGGACTTATTTACGTTGACTTTATTTTTGTAGTGTCATCTCTACCACAATCCAGCTACCGTTTAGGTGTAAAGGCCTCAAATCTGCACGAGTTATTTCCCACTGATATTACAGAAGCTTTGCAGTCAGCAATTTCAATGTTTGACGAGGAGGTTTTAAATCTTCATCCCATTCTTTTTGTGCAATTTCATAATCCATTTGGTGTTAAATATAATTTTTGTATGCTGTATATTTTAGTCGAAGCTGGCCCTAAACTTTTGTCACTATCTTTTGATCTTACAGTTACCGGGTTTTGCTTCCAGCAACGCCCTTCTTCACGGAGTCGAGGTACAATTACTAAACCTTCTCTCTTGTTTGTTTGCTACTCAAAAACTTTTTAAAGTCATAGTTTGAATGCATTTTTGAAGAAACAATATAGAAAACCGGTAAGGATGAGGTACTTTCACGTTTCAACTATCCCTTGAACTGTGAAAATCATTACGGCTGTTCTTTTATCCTTGTTGTAGACGAGGACTAGTTCACCCGTCCAAATAACGCGGACACGTGACACGTGGGAAAGCACCTCCATGAAGGGGCTTTATCCGGTGGGTGAGGGTGCAGGATATGCCGGTGGAATCGTGAGTGCTGCCGTTGATGGAATGCATGCCGGATTCGCACTGGCATGTAATCTTGGACTCTTGAACGACTCCATAGGTTCGGTTGTGGGCAAGGCTCAAAATGTCGGATTTGTCAAATACTAACGCTTGTACTTTATGCTTCAAATGTTGTGTATAGTCAATGCAAGAACCCTAGCCACATGTTGAAATGTATATGGCACTGTAATTCACTTGTATAACTCATCTCCAAAAATCTACCAATTTCAAAAGTTCAAAGGAGAATGTAAATTTTGGAGTTTAGAGTTTGAATTTGAAGATAATAAAGTCTGACTTACTGAATAAAGTCACTTCTTTGAGGATTGTTCTTTAAAGGTCTTATTAATGCTTTATTTTTGTTTGCACAGAGGTAAGTAACCTTAAGGTAGTATTATAAATTCAATACATAACTAACATGGATTACTGTGTACTACACATTAAGAAAAATATATGTTCATTGCTGTATTTTCTGCATATACATGTAAAAAAAATTGAAAAATTGACACACTGCTTCACAAAATTTTGTTCTGCTTTTATTCCTCCCTTTTTTCTTTTTTGTTCCTTCACATGCAGCTCAAACTTCAAGGAAAAAGAAAAAGAAAACAACACACACACATTGCAAACCACTCAATACTACAATCAGCAGTTGAGCCCACACTGCTTCGTATCGGGCCCTTTGGCCCGCATCACAAACGGGTCGATCCGAACCCACAGCAACGAGAAAATCGACGCAAGCAGCACCGACCAGATAACAACAATTGTCGGCGTTCGGTTTTGCCTTCCCATCAGCCCCTTGAGGAAAGGGTACAAGTGTACAATCACCCAAAATGCGAAGAACAGCTTCCCGAAAAGTGGGCCCCACGACTGGTAACCATTGTTGATGGCGTCCGAGATTCCGGCCACGACCCCGACGAGGTTTATGACGAGGACAGTTGTCGGGGGTATGAGGAGAGTCGTCCACTTGAAAGCGTATAGCTCGCCAAAATCTTCGTCATCGGTGGCCTTTGACGTGACGGTGAAGTTTGTGTCGATGCCAGCTAGGATCTTGAGGAGGCCCTGAATGACGGCGAATAGGTGGGCCGAGATGCCACCGATGACCCAGAACTGCTCGTTTCTCCACCACTCCTCGATGCTGACTCCGCTCCACCTCAGCTCGAGGATGCCCGTGATGAAGATCGACAGGAAGAGGGCTATGAAGAAGAGGCTCGCGAACGTGCTTATCTGCAGTGCA